GATATCACTTATTAGACAGCTTAACTGCTTAAGGATAAATAACACAAACAAAATATTTCCTTCCAAAAATTCAAGTATCATAATTTTCTTAAATAGTTGCCTTTCTCACTGAAGAAGTGATATCTGTTTAGGTAAACAACATTATGTTTCACCAAGACACATAAATTGGTGAAAAATTGGAAAATGTACAACTTTCAGTTCAATAAATTTTTTTCCAAAGTTTTTGAAATATACATGTAAAATGTGTGAGGTTTTGTTACTATAAAGTTTCTGGGAAACATTTGTAAGATTCTTTATTAATTAAACATTTTACACAATTAGAATTTAGACATTATATTGAAAGAAAGATTGAAAAATTGCAATGCATTTTGCATGTGTGAGGGTGGGGGGGGGGGGGGGGGAGAAATAAGATGATTTATTTGTGTTACATGTATGTACCTTTAAATATGTGCCATTTTATTTGCTATGATTTATTTAATTTTATCTGCACACAAAAAACGATTTGAGTAAATAAATTTACTCTTAAGATCATCAATTATTTATCACAAAGATATCCCCTATCCTACACAAATATTTCAAAATTGTTAGAGTCATGATGAACTTTTGTAGTCTTGGGAGTGCCATGTGGGCATCTCCTTGTCATTACATATACCAAAGAAATACAATGACAAGATTACATGTACCTTTGGGAGAGGGGAGGGAGAAGAAGTTCAGTGTATTTGACATGAGACTTTGTTGTTTTATCTTAATTATTTTCATCTTATTATTTTAATCGGTAAACTTTACAATATTTTCATTATAAGCAAATAAAATCAGCAGCTATGCTTTGTAGTTTTCTACGTACGTTTTTAAAAAATGATGGACATGTATTCCTTTTATCGTTTGTTTATCATGTCATCAGAGTTCCCGAAACTAGTCCAAAATCTGTCGGACAATTGTCCTGTAAATATTCAAATTTGTAAAATTTACCGGACATTAATATTTTAGATAAAATAAAAAAATATACATGAAAGTGATGAAAAACAGTTAAAAAATTTTCAAGCTAATTTATTCCCTTTTTCCCTTTCTCTTTCCTATTCAGATTGTCATAATTGCTGCTGTAGTCTATGATTAGGAATTAAGACGTACCTTAGGGCAAATGCCCTTTGTAAATCATCTGTAACATTCTTTTAAATTACTTCATTATTAAATTTTATTATGAATCAAAAATGAAAAATACGTCACATTTACAGTGTCAGGTCCTGGTTAATCACATAGAAGAGATTTACTGATTGATGGCGTTTTTCTCATAGTTACTTGTTCCTGTCGCTGGCGTCCACTTTGTAACTCTAATTCATTAAAATATTTTTCTATAACCCTTTGTGTGCGGGTACCCAATATATACTATAATGGGTTTGACGCTTACTTGCGGAGACCAGCGCTTTGTTGTATAAAATTATTATATTCAGTGGTTGACTGTTTAGAATGTATTATACAACCACAGTAGTGAAAAACAGATAATAATAATGTGAAAATATGCAAATTAATCTTGAAATGATGATTTAAAGTGAAGTTGTCATTTTATAACATTTCAAGTCAGCCCATTATTTTTAGAAACAGGAAAAACGCGCCTGTAATAAATGTTAACTAATACATAGAAAAAATCTAAAAGTTATTTAATATTAATAATTCCAATAGATTATTTTTTAGAGAAAATCATTGTTTCTATGATCTGTCCTCAAGATAATGTTGAGCAACATAGTTTTGTCCTGTTAAAGCACTGTCCTCAAAATTTGCAGAGTCTACAATTCATTGCTTAATATATAATCCTCAGATTCCTTTAGATCTGTAAAGCATACTTGGACTTCAACTTGCACTGACAAAATTGTACCAAAAATCAACCCTGTTTGTAAAGTATATTAGAAGCAGTTGTCATGCTGATCAGAGCTATTGAATCCTCCATTAAAAATAATTCTGAAGTTAAAAGAACTTGCTTCCTGATACAGACTTTTAGTTAAAATAAGCAAAGGAAGAACCTTATTATTATATAGATATTGGAATATTTTGATCACAATCATCAAAGTGTGTAGATCAAGTTACCTAAAGAATGCAAGAATTCTGGCCTGTGGGTACAGGTGATAGCGAAAAGTACAAATTCTGTCTGGTCTTCTAGGGTTAAAGGGAAGCATTAAAGACACTATTTTGATCAATACTGTAAATTATGGCAGGAGGTCTTATCATATGCCATTTGTGAATATTTCATAAAGTTTAATCTTGTGTTTTTTTATGGCCTGTATCAGTAATACAGTTATGATGCAACGCGCTTTTATCTGAATTTGTTATTAAGCTTTTCCAAGAATGCATTAAACTGGGTATTTAGTCAATATAGTATTCTTTTCCTTCATCGTATCCTGGGCTATATACAGTGGTATAATCAACCAATGATAAAATTGAAAAATTACCAAGCTTTTATCATTAAAGCTGACCTTTAACAAAAGATAATTTTTTTTGTCGCATAAAAAAAATCAATCGTAAAATTATTTGAATTAGTTAACTACACATTATGAGTTGAATCCAAACATCAAAGAAATGTAGAGGAAATTCCTGAAAGACCATGATCACAATGGAGTCTTGATGTTTTACATGCACTCAAAATGCAATTTATAATCTCAAACAAATCAATATTTGACCTGTCCATTTTGAAAAAGTAATGTTTGTTCTGATGGGTGATAAATGAGTATATGGATAAAAAAAATGTTTTGAGCTAAGTATTGATGTTGTGTCTTTACTACAGGCATTGACTTGATGTAAAGGAATCTATAGCTAAGACCCCTTACAAAATACACTGATGATCAATTAAGGTGATTGATTTGACCTTGATGAAATCTTCTCTCCTCTCCTGGGTATATCTATTTATGAGCCAAAACATGTACACCTTGTTTAATCAAAAAAGTTTAATTGGATATACAAAATATTAGATATTAATTTGCTCTTGTATTTGTTCACTATATATGCATGTCATAGACTGTGCACTTTAATAAAGATATTCAAATGAATTTTTGTGAAAAATTAAGAAGCCCTTTATACCGAAATTGTAATCCTTCATAAGAAAGGGAAAATAAAAAGTCGTTCTTGTTTGAATATGGGCTACTATATGTTTATGTATATAGAAATAATGATTAATCTTTATCAGCGTTTGTTAATTAAAGAGAGAGCTAATCTTTGTTATTTAGAGTTGGACCAGTGCAATTTGACTAAATGGTGTTATTGACAGAAGAACGATGCCTCTCGGGACAATGACGTAATGTCCTCCCTGCCATATTCCTGATCAATATTTTGCGTAATTATAATTGACAGAATATGATACTAATATTCATCTAAATAGTCATAAGTCTTGTACATCAGCCTCATTTGAATATTATGAACCAGTGATAGATTTTGGAGTGAGGTACTGTCTGATAAATCTTGGAAACTTTGATTTAGTCGGGGTCTTTTTATTTGATCGATCATAACGTGACCATTAATGTGATATGAGCTCAGGGTAAAATAGATTCTTTGAGTTCATGATTTTTGATATATTTGATTTCTTTTGGTTATGGAAAAAAATCATAATTATTTGCTAAATATGTACTTAAAGGAAGTTACACAGTTATTATTTATTTCATATCGAATGATTCTAAATCTAATAAATGACTTAATTTTTTGGTGAGATGTGTGGGTTCTCTAAAAAGAATTATGAACTTGATTCTGCTTCATCGGAAAGAAATGTATTTTCATTGATTGGGAATAAGAAAGCTTTATAATAAGAGTTTATTTAATAATTTGTATTACTCTTACATTATTATATTCAACAATGCTTGAAAGATTTTTGCCATTGCATTATTCATAAATAAGCATTGAATATTTCAGGAATGGTGCCATTAATAATAACAGTATGTGGAAAATAATGGCACTTAATTTTAGGAATAACTCTATTCATTAAGATGGAACTACAAAAGATTGACAGGTTGTTGAAAAAAACATGTAAAAAACCATTTGATTGTTTGCCATGCTTTCACTCTTTTGTAATGTTGGCTCTAGAACCTTTTTTTTCTTGCAAGAGGAGGAACACCAGAAAAGTCTGAACAAGAGAAACAGAGCTTCAAACAAGAGTGCTAACTAATTAAGCAGAGCAATCTTTGTTTATCATTAAGCATACCACATTTACTGTATCAATTTATTGGCATTTCATTGATTCAAGATCACAGTACAGCTCCTTTCAAATCTACAGGTTTTCTGCAGCTTTTGCGATTATTTATTGGTATGCTGTGGAGAGCGTACCTTATAATGCCGATTGATAATAATTCATGGATTTTTCTCTCTGTCGGGTTTCCTATTGTGATCGGCATTGCATCAGAGTCTGAAATGAAAAAGTTGGACAATATATAGACTGGAATTGCAGAGGGAAATGGTTATGGTGATGGAAAGTTCTAAGGCATGTCATAGAAAAATATGTGGGATGGTCAAGCCATTGATTTCCAATTAAAAAACAATTAGAATGCTATTTCATTTTTCGAACTGCCATCTCAGTGTCAAGGGATTAAAATAGTTGGATATAGATATGTTTTTTTTTCTCTCGACAAAACAATGGTATTGATCCAAAGTTGCTGAGGCTGTCTTTTTTTCTCCGCTGCAGTTTGAAGTTATATAGAAAGCATATTGGATGAAGCTGAGTGAGAACTCAAATAAGCGACTAATACATATGTATGTGGAGATATGCTTCTTTAAAGTGATCGAGGATGAGACAACTGTTAAGTATGATTAATTCGTGGACATGAAAACCTTTTAAAATCAAGGATGGAATGTAAAGTCACAAAATGTTTACTTCTAATGGAAATTAAGCTCATTAGTAAACAGCAAAACCATGTATATCACAAGGATTCAGCAGTTTTGGTTGAATTTAAAACAAAAGATCTAATGGAAGAGAAGTTATTCCAGTATTTAAGAAAAACATTTAAAGTTTAAGGAATATCCGAGACAAAATGTCCCAGAAAACTAAAATTCCTGTGTCAAGGAGTGAACCATCTAAAAGTGGGAAAAGTGGTCCAGTATCCACGTCAGCTGCTAGACGTAATACTCCTGGGAGAACAAGAATGTCAGAAAGGTTCACCACCACATCCTATCAATCTGGAACCACTAGAATGGCTTCCAAAGATGGTGATCCAAAAAGTGCACCCACAACTAAAACTTCCACAGGTTCCAAACAGACTGGAAGTCATTCCAAGGTGACCTCTTCAGGATCTAAACCTGTTGGTGGGAAGGTATCTGGAGGTAAGGTGTCTGGAGGCAAGGTGTCATCTGCATCCAGGATTGACAAATTGTCTCCAATTAGTGATAAATCTCCCACAGAAAGCAAGGCTGATTCTGACCAATCACCAGTGAACGATGATGAAAACTCACCAATGGAGACAGGTGAGAAAGATTTAGTGGTGGATCCAATGTCCACCTCTTTGGTTAAGAAACATGATTCTGGAATAGAATCAGATGGATCCAATATGGATAAAAGTGAAATTTTTATGGAGTCCGATTTTATTGATACCCCTGTTTCAAATTCCTCCCGTGTTAGTAAAATTTGCGAAAGTTTAATAAGTTTTTCAAGCATGGATAGTGGGAATTATGATGGCGTCACTGCCACAGTAGATGATAATTTGGGTTTTGAGGCCACTTTGTCATCTACGTCAGCTTCAGTGTCAACCTCTGCGGAAAGTAAGAGTGATGTGTCTGTGATAAGTGTAGTGGAAATTCCAGGTGGAGATTTGGAGGAACAGTTAAATGAAAAAGTTTCTGTCGATAAAATGCCAACACTTCTCACTGAAGACAAAGTGAGCAAAATTGCCAGTGTGGATGTTCAAATTCAAGGAAAGCTTAAGGTAAAGTATTTTTTCTAAAGATTTTCAGGGAGGGATCGAGATAAATGATTTTTATTGAAAAATTGGTCTTTTAAAACACATTCATGGAACTTATTCAAATGGCTTTGTATAAGCCTAATATAATAAATATTATATCTTTTCTCATATTTTAATGGATTTTTTCCTATCCATCGCATTTAGCAATGGGTTGGCAACAGTTATGATTTTTAGGCCTTCAAGATTCTAGTATTTTTTCTTTAATTCATCCAAAGTGTCGATATTTGTATTTTTTCTTGCACGAGAGGGATTTCATTTTCAGAAATTCTCAACTCGGTATTTAATAATAGTAGAATTAAAGACTAGAAAACCAATGAGGGACCATCCTGTCAAATATAATGATTAAAATATTGCTAATGATATTAAAAAGTATTGATTTTTGAAAATGGAGCCTATTTACAGAGAAAAGAAATGATACCGAAACCCAAACCCGTAACTTAAATGGGGCAATTAAATGATTGTGTCTATTTACTTTTCTCAAGATAGGCCATATTTCAAATATTGATGAAGAATGCAGAAAGCATTTCTGTCATATTTTAAATATCAGTGATACCATTTTGAATTCATTCTAATTATGTGCAATTTTAAAAATTGATGGAAAACGAATCTAGATAAGCTACAGGCATTATAAGGTCAGGTGGGTTAACATGCAGAATAATGACTGTTGGATGCATTAAGAGCTTTTGACTCTTAGCAATTAACTGTTAAAAAAAATAAATAATACATAGACTGAGGATATTTAGTGTTTTGCAATAGGATATAGAATTTATTTCACAAGTGTTACAAGATTTTTTTTTTTTTTTGATTTTCATAAGTTTAAAAAATGAGTGAAAATATTAGGGGGAAAAAACTTGTCTCATATGTGAAATAAAGAGTATTTATCTACTTGGATAATGGGAAGAAGTTATTTAACAGATATCATTGAATATGACTAACTGCTAACTGTTAGGATCAAGTAAAATCTGTGTTATATTTTTTTCTATCCTGAATATATATTTCTTATTTTACGTTAACCTATAACAAAATATGACCTCATTTTATGCCTGAATTTGTGGTAAGTTGTTAAATGTAAAGGTTAATAGATATTATTGAAGCACTGTGACACTGCTACTCCAATATCCTCTCATTCTACTTAAATGAAAAAAAGAAAAGACTATTTTCATATTGATTGGGATGCATACATTGTAAGTTCAAGGATAAAACATTGATTTCTAAATGTCATATGATGCTTTTTTTTGTCTGGGATATTGTAAAACTTTTCTGTGTAAGATCCCTCTAGCATGTCATGTTTTCTGAAGCAGGGATACTTTAGTAGTGGGATTTAAAGCTTCTGCCATTCTGTAATGTTCCATGATTATTTTTTGCAGCATGGTTTGTAATTGGAAGTCAATTATCATTAGCTCATTAGAGAGATAACCTCTTGAGAGCATTACAAGGCATTTGGCTTTAAATTTCATCAGTGAACAGCGAAATCAGCTTAAAAACGATTCCGCTGCAAGGTAGTGCTGGGTGTTACATGGTTCTGTGAATGAAATCGACTGCTTGTGGGAAGGAAATGCCATGTAGTCTCTGAAAAGGAGGGAGAAAAAATCCTGGAAAAAGTGCATGATATCAAGATAAGGTGGAGACAGATTATTCAGCATTGGGATAAGGTTATTGCTTTTTTGGAGACTTAATCACATGATAAATGGTGATTGAAAGCATTTAGTCCCATTTTAACAATCTGTGCAGATACTGGGTGATAAGTTGCTACTGCAAAGTAAACTGTCAAGATAATAACATGTGACTAACTAATTTATATATATCTGTTACAGTAATGGATAAAACAGTCATTCATTTTTACCTAACAATGATGTGTGTGAAACACAAATGCTCCTTGAGCACTGAATGTTGTAATTTGACCTTGAACCTATTCAAATGACCTTGGTTCAGGGTATCAACAAATCCTTTTATCATACCCTAATTTCATGCTAAGTATCAGCCTCTTATGTTTCTCACAGAGATAGGAACCAGAGAACAAGACATTGACATTTTCAATTCTTTGACCTTGACCCTGTCCAAATGACATTATGTCAGCATCACTCTCTGGTCATATCCTGCTATCTTTATACCAAGAATGAAGTTTCTGAATAACTTCATGGGTGAGGTGAAAAGTGAGGACAGATGAGGATAGAAAGATGTAGAGACAGAGCAAGAAAAAACCCCAATATTCTACAGATCTTCAATCTTCTGGATATAAAGATTTTAGACAATGTTGGTGTATAGCATTGCTAATAAAAGAAGTCAATTCAGAATGCAGTAATTGCACTTCAAAATTCAGAAAACCTTTGAAGATGCACTTTCAGTTGCAGAAATTCTATTTGCTGACAATACAAAAAAGTCCCACAAGAAAACACCTGTCTGACTTGTTGACAGAGTTTATAGCAGGGAGAGGTAGAACTCCATCAGGTTTATCAATTCTAACATTTACATTGGCATTATCCTGCTAACTGTTTGACAGATTATTTCATCAGACTATCTACACACCTAGAAGAAATAGGAGAAAGGATGTTCTGCTATATGAGACAATAATGGAGCCTGCTGGTTGACAGCTATCTTGTTTGGGCTTTTGCAAATTTCTAACATTACACAAAGACCAGGATTATAGAAAGCATATTGATAAGATATTAGTTTGCAGAATTCAATATTGCAAAATGTTGCAAAAATGTGTGTCAGAGAATTTTCTGCAATTTTGATTTTAGGCAGTTCAATTATTTTTCATATCATTTATCTCTCCCATGTTGGTTGTTTGAAACTCCTACTCTAGTGTAGTTGTCCTGGGGCCCAAATTGACATTCCAATAGCATGATAGCAAACTGTTTCTCCAGGTTGCTGCAAATCTGTTGTCATTGGATGAGCTTTTTGTGTTTTGTCATGCAAAGTGGTTCCTCTATGATTAAGAAAGGTATTTATTAGTTTGGTATTGTTTGCATAAGGGTACATAATCAATCACATTTTTTATGCATTTCAATACAGGAGAAAAAAGAAATATTTTCTTCTTTTGGCTAGCTTTAAGTGTGGTCTCAATGCAAAATAGCTTCAGAGAAAACCTAGATCTGATCCCCTGCTGGAGAATACAAATATATCCACAGATCAAAATCAAAGGGTACTTTAGAAATTTTCCTCTACATCTAAATAGGTTTATACAAATAGTGATAGATTTTTCTGTTTGTATTGGAATATGAACAATAGTTTCCATATGCAATCACTTCTGATGATATTTAGATTCTCAGCAAACAATGAGATGTAATAAAGAAAAAAAAGCCATATGTACAAAAGTCACTGACCCAGAAGCCAGTGTTTGACCATTGAATAAATATATGATGAGTGGAGGCAAAAGCCAGGGAATGCTGACTTTTGATCCCTCAATCTCTCTCAATTGATCTATTTTGTCATTTTCAATCAAATCTGTCCAACTACAAACTTCACAATGCAAAAATGCATCAATCACTGATTCTGGTGAGTATAAAAAGTCAGGGTTTGTTTCAAACAGAGCAAAACACAAGATTCATTCCCTGACAGGCAGGAAATTGGACTTTTGAGAATTTGTCCACATGCAATTGCTCTGACTTATTTCTTCTGATCTACTATAATTCGGGATTGGATTATTTATATTTTAAAATACTGAAACACAAATGCCATCATTAAAGGAAATGTTTATAATTAAGGAGTACCAGTAAATTTTTAAATGGTACATGTACCACAATACCATACAAATGTATGTGCCATATCATTCTGTATCCAGAGTTGTTCCTGGTAGCTGTGCTCCCACATACGCCTCTGTCACCTTTCATTGTACTATAGCTCTTGGACAATTTAAGTCTTACAATTTGAAAATGTGAAATTATTGTAAATTAATGTAATTATCAGTAAGACTATGTGATATTGAAATTATGGTTCTCATACCGACATGTATCCATTTTGAGGTAGCTGCATTGCAATTTTTATCATATCTTCAATAAAATAGAAAAGTTAGTAATGTGGAGACCAATTAGGGAAAAACTTTTGCCCTCATTTTCTCATAGTTTTGCTCTCAATTTTCATTTCCAGTAGCCATTTCGTATAAATATGGACATAGACAGCCATTCAAAATGGACACTTTGTTCATTATGCATATATAGTAAAACTTGTCTAATCCGGACACCACTGGTTCCAAAGAAATTGGCCGGTTTAGACAACATTCCGGATTAGACAACATTTCAAACAATTGAATTAACTAAAAGGGACTTGAAGCTGACATCATATTAGGCAAGATTTTGGAATACACAACATCTGGATTAGACAAGTTTCACTGTATTTGGTAATTTTGTGAGATTTTAAATATATCTACAGAATAATTCCAGTATAACTATGAAGGAAAAATTTTCATTGTTATTTTTATAGAAAATTCTGAAATTAAAAAAAGTGTCCCATTTCTAATTTATCAGCATAAAAAGTTAAAAAGAAAAAAAGGGGGGGGGGGGGGCGAGAACCCTAAAATCAGTTTTACTTAGCCTGAAGATTATATTTTAACATTTACTTTAAAACTATCTAAGAGCAATCATCCCTTAAAACAAATATTTTCAAAGTTATTAATAAACTATACTGTGGAAAAATTAAAAAAGCTTAGGGAAAAAAATCCTTACAATGAATGATACATTAAAAATAGATCCATTTTTCTGATAATTGATATTTAAGAAATAAGGTTTCATTTTTAAACATGTATCGGGATATAATTGTGGGTTGGTCTCGAGATCAAATGCCATAATTTGATATGGTAAATTTGATCTCGTACCAACCCGTATTTATATCCCGATAGATGTTTTGAAATGATACCTTATTATTACTTATATTTATATTTGTGACTTATTCATATTATTTATTAGCCTGATTATAACCTTTATCACGTGAAATGTTTTATTTTTTCAAACTCAACTGCTCAAGTT